CTGTGTGCGCACAGGTCCGTGCTTTCTCACCCGTTCTCTACCCCGGCTCCGTGCCAGTACCGGCTGGGTCCCCACCAAGACGACGGCGTGTAGGTTTCGGACACCATCCCCTTGGACGTGAGCTGTGTCACGTCAGCGTCAGGATCAGCGTCGACCGCCGTCATGTGCGGCGAATCGAGGGCGAGGACGGGCGAATTACATGACGGGTGAGCGGGGCTATGCCGCCTGAGCGTCGATCATCGCCGACGTTCAGACACAAAGCAAAGCCACGGTGGACTTGAGTAAGGTGCACGCGCGAAAACGATACAGAGCGGTGGATACCACCAGGGTGTTCCAGCGGCATCGAAAAAGTCTCTCGTCGGCGCCATACATGCGCTTTTCGAACGGCAGTGTCACAAGGCGAAGGTTTTGCGCGAACACGGCAGCCTCCACACGAATTCATCAGGAGCGGCGTTTAGGCAAATCAATCGCCCTTCGAACCTCAAGTCGTGTTTCACTGCCCTCTCGGGCCTAAGCGCCCTCTCCTGAGCCCAAACGTGTCTGTCGCTCAAACAATGAATGCTACGTTGTAGGCTAGCTAACCCGATACAACTCTTCTCCTCACCACTTTACCGCCGAGGGCGGCGTTGGCGTAGTCCCGCATCCCTGTACCATCCGCCATCAGCTTCCCGATCGCCACGTCCACCTCCTCCCTCACCACCCCCTCAGAGACGCACCCTCCTCCTCCGCCGCTTTCATCGCTGCCGTCCCGGCTACCGCTTCCGAGCACCCTCGTCTTTATCGCGAGGTCCACCGCCACCTTGGACAGGGCTCGAATTTGATGCTCCGCAGCGTCGCCGTCACCGTCCCTGCTTGTGCCGATTCGCTCCGAGGGTTGCGCCGCAGCACTTTCGAGCAACGCCTGTGAGAAAATGGTCAGAGGGAGGTGATATAGCTTGAACTCTATTGAGTTCCCGAAGTCATGCAGGAGTGGTGACAGAGCTTCGGGTGATTGATCAAATCCCACGGGGCGGTCTGGCTTGGCGTCACCCTGTTCTAATCTACCCACGACCGCCCCCCCCCCCGTTAATCATTTGATAAATCTCAGCACATTTGAAGTTCTCCCTTCCATTCTTCGTGTCTCTTGCTTTTCTGTGAGCGCAACCCCAACAACCCTTGTAGCACGTCAACGCCCGTGTGATGTTTCAATACCTCAAGGTCTGAAGCAGTCATAACGTCTGGAGACAGACTATCGACGTGCCCTTCCACCGTGTGGTAGAAGTCCTTCAGGTCGGCCAGGTTGTCGTCCAGCTTTGATTCTAGTTTCTGTTCATGCCGCCATCGCGGATGGCGACGACGGCGACGACGACGGTAGCAAGAGGAGATTACCCATCACGAGGGTCATCGAGCGTGTACAGTAGCTCGCACGCGATGAAATTCACGCCGCATGTATCCTGCGCCGTCGAACCTAAGCAGCACCAAGGCAGTAGTGAAGGGCACCACCCCGGCGACGGCGGCGGTCTGTCATCCCCTCGCTAACTTGCGCCTCCGGGGGGGGGGCTGGCCAACTCGGAGCAGCCCGTATCATCGGCGGGATGTATTTCTCGTCGCAAGACGCCAGGCAATCACCGCAGGACGGTTGGGCAGGATGCCTTAGGGAAGGAGCCCTTTTTTTTGCGTGACTGGCCACAGATTGGAGCTTCTATTTCGCAGAAATGCTGTGAGCTGTGAGGGCCGATTCACAGTGATGAACGAAAAAAAATCACCTCCGCAACAGCGTCCGAAAACACGTATATATAACACAAACAACACTGCCTCTTCTCGCATGGTCCCCTGCATGCAACGCAGAGCAAGAAAATACATAGTTCCACTCGCGACCCGCCCCTGTTGTTGATGTTCGTGGGATCATCATATCGCTCACCATGTGCACTGCAGCGGCGATCCGATCCTCCCTGCGCTCCGCGAGCTGGCTGACTCTGGCCATGCCGTCCCGAATCTCTCTCATCGTCCCCGCCTACAGTCCACGCCATGAAACACGGGTGGGGTGAAGCGAAACACACGACAAACAAAGTCCACGTCACGAGGTTGACGAGGGTACGGCTCACAGGGCTGGGGAATGACCAAGACGTAGGAATACTGCTGTGTAGTTATCGAGCGTTGGGTGCTAACAAAAGGGCGTGAAGCAAAAAGCAGACAGGGATCGTCACGGTGCAATACGCAAGCCTGGCGAACAATACAGGAGAAAATTCCGTGCAAAACAGTACCATACGAGCGGGAGGATCCACGCCAGTTTCGGCTCACGCGGCACAAGCACGAATTGTTTGGGCCGCGCGCTACCGGTAGTTGGATGCTGCGTCTTGAAGAAATCCGCCGTGCGTTGCGGCAAGTGGACTGTTCCCCCGCGTAGCACAAAAGTTCTTTGATAGAAGAGCCGGCGACCACCAACTGGTGCATGGTCTGGCGAAAACAAGTGTCGTGATACCTGCTCTTCAAGCCGCCGCTGAAAGCTGCCCAACTCGTCCGTCACCGAGCGGTGCAGATCGCGAAGGCTTTCTTGGGCCCTCGTGACCTGTGTCGGATGAAACCGCCGTGGTGGGAGGAGGAGGACTTGTGGTGGGGAGGGGCTGAAGTACACATACAACCGGAACGACCGGCGGTGATATCTTTATCGGCATAACCTTTAGGGATCTGCACCCGCCGCGAAGCATCCGGTTGTATCCTGATAGCGCGCTATGAATTCCCCGCGTGAGGCCAGGAGATGGTGACGGCGGGTGGGACCTCACGGCAGAGACGAAAGGATGGCGACATACTACAAAGGGCAAGGCTCAACACGACCGAGTCGTTGTTTTCTGCCTGCCTGAACATCACATCAGGACCTCATATTTTTCCTACACACGCCAACTCCTTAATGAACACGTAGAAAGAGGCACCTCGGTAGTGAGACCGGCGTCACGGCTGTTGCCCTCGTGCACCGCCTTGCCAAGCGCCTCCAGCTCCTCTACCTCCAGCACCGACGCTCTCAACCTCGCCGCGATCTCCTGCTCCGCATGCACCATCTAGGATTTAGAGTTTCTTGGGGCGGGAAATGTTTTCACAACAAGCACCTCAGCTTTCGCACCGCGTTCCCGTGTGACACCACCAACGCCTCTACCCTCTACCACCCCCTCTCAACACCTCCGTTCCGTCGTCGTGTGGCGCCTGTGGCATAGCCCCATGATTCAGCGGGAGACACCTACTGCTGTATACTACATAAACCGTCATGTTTCCGCGAGGCAAGTCGTCGCCCGCATGTTTTTTTTTGCGCACACCTCGATTTCCTTCAACGCTCCCGCTCGACGCGCTCGAAATTCCTCGAAGCTCCTGCAAGGCAACGAGCGCAGCGGGCACACACCCCAGAGAATAGCGGGAAAGACGTGACAGGGGTGGGATTATGAGATATGCGTAAACTGAAAGAGAAACACACGCAGAGATACTTTCAAGGAAGGAGATCGCTCTAAACGGGAGGTGTGTGAGGAGCATCGCGGTCCTCCTCAGCAAGTGATAGATGGCCGTTTCCACTTGGTGGCAAACATAGCTGCTGTGCACCGTGCTGCGTGTCATCGCGACAAAGAATGGGCGCATGAACCATTTACCTGGCTTCCATCTGCAAGGTGTTGGCGACACCTTCCACCTCCTCCGCTAGGACCAGTCGAATCAAATCATTCTCCAAATGAGGCGGCACAGTGGCTGCCCCAGGGGGCTGCTCGAGCAACACCACAGCATGGCAATAGGGAGCGCGGCAGAACCGGCAGATGGGCGGAGGTTGGTGGACGTTGGAATGAAATATTCTCGCTTACAGTATTGCAGCAAGAACACCACTTCGAACTACGGCGGTGGTATGTAACATATTTCGGTGAATGAGAATGTCGCCGTGCAAGGAGTTGCTGCATGGACAATACTCGTCCGTTCGGTGGTTCATATCGGAACAGGAAAGGTTTGTTGTACAAGTAGTCCGTACATGAGGCGCCAACACCTCTGTCCAGCGTAGGGTATCGTATCATACGTCGTAGCAGTAGCACTTGCTGGGGGTGCTACTATTATTATGTACGGTAAGACTGCATGCCCAAAGGTGGCCGGCAGGAAATGGCTGGGTCTCCTCTGGAAAAACACATCACATGCATCTTTCTGGATTGGATCGCAGCAACAGCCGACTTAGATCCAGGCTAGCTTACAGAATGCACCAAAGGAGCAAAACGAATCTGTTGGTACAGACGTGCAGACGATGTTGCCGTTGATGTTTTGTTGTTTGTTTGTTTTTCTCCCATCATTGGACTCTGTCGTCTGCCCCTCTGGCCCCTATCCTCCACTTCTACTAGCTAGACGACCCAACCGGGGTCACATAGGAGGGGGGGGTTGGACCCCCTCCTGCGGTTCATGCCTGAGGTATTTTTATCGCGAGAAGGGTACAGCAATCCCTTCCGTTGATGTATGTTACGGCAAAGCAGACGGCCTTCAACGGACGAGACCCTGGGCAATGGTTGTACTCCTCGACAATATACAAATATAACAGCACACACAACAACAACCGTACTCACCGGGACTAGGTAGCTTTTCACTAGAGCCATCATTGACACGACCACGGCGAAGACGCACACAGTCTTGCGCCGAGGAGCTTCCGTGCTGAGCCAAATCGCGGCCCACCTGGATCGCGAAAAAGAAATAGCGGAGCTTTTTCTGTCCTCACCCCGCAGCGGAGTACGTTCTCCTTGGGGAGGGCTCGACACCGAACCTCCACCATCATCTCGGGGCCTTCCTTTTCCCTTTCCCTTGCCCGCGTCTTCCCCCACAGGTCCAGCCATCGATACAGCAGCAGTAGCAGCAGAGAGCTGTGCACCTCAGCTCGTGCTGGTCACGGCGTATTGAGTTGGACCGCAGGACCGCTTGAGTTCTTGGGTAGGCGACGCAGAATCGTGGAATTTTGGATGCACGTACCTCACAGTCGATGGCGGCGCCCCCATGAGTCAAGCACACACCTCACAGCACAAGCAAGCAAGCACTGCAAACTGAGACTAAAGTAAGGCGAAGCCAGCAGGGCGAGGCAGGAGGCACAGGGGTGACGAGAGCATCGATCAGGATGGCCACCAGAAGGAGCCGAAGAGGAGCCGACGGCCAACCTACACCAGACATCGCAGAAAAAGTTATAGGTCAGTGGGCCGCGCAAGGTCGGCGACATCCTTCATTGGACGGACCAACCACAACTACGTCTGGGAGCAGGCAGCCGCCTGACATTCTCGGCTACCACACGAGAATTATATCTGCTCACCATGGGCACGTATATTTTGTCGTGTGACTACTGATGAGGCAGAGAGTAAATGCTGATTTTCAGAGAGTCGCCCGAGGGGGTGAGGGCGTCTTGTCTGCAGGGCGCGTAGGTGGCCCGGCCGAGACCATCCCCTAGTGCAAGCAGGATGCTGTAGTCTACATAATCCTCGAGACACGCTGTTAGCTAGAGAACACTTGTCGTTCCCATGGATCTATGTAAACAAGACTTGACCTTTGTAGCAGTCCTTGGCGTACGAATGCAATCTCACACATGGTGCACAAAATCTCGCTGCGTTCAAGACGCGAGTTCACGGCATGTCCAGCACATCACTTGTTCTCGGGTCAGGCGGCAGCTCTTACCTCTTTATTGTTGTACAAAAAATAATACGAACACACGCGACCCTGTGGTCCCGCTTGCTGCCCGCGCCAAACAGCAGACGCCACGGACGAAGAGCAAAGCAGCGACGACGAGGCGCCGGAGGAGGTCAGCGCCGCGGCGGCAACCGCTCTTGCCGGTCGCCGCCGAAAGGCGGAGCACCAGGCGCGCCAGGCGGCCGCCGCTCCGAAGAGGAAGCGAGCGCGGACATCCTCGTCTTCGAAAGCCGTTGATGACGGCGGCGGCGACAAGAAGGCCTCGTCCGGGGAAGGTGAGCCGGCAGACGGGCTCGAGCTCCCCTCGGACTTGCTGCTGAGGGTCAAGTCCGGTGGGTTGCAGCGCATGGAAGCGGACGTGTTGGAGGCGGAGGAGCAGGCGGAGGCGGCGGCGGCGGCAGCGGCGGCGACCGCACCGGGCGGAAGGAGGAAGGCGAGAGCCAAGGCTGGGGATGCCTCGCGGAGGTGAACATTTGATGCGGATCTTGCCAGTTGTATATGTTTCGACGCATGTTTGGTTTGGGGTTTTACAGTGCGACAGTCAAGTTCCCTGCTCGTTCCATGCCATGTTTTTGAGAGAAAGCCGTGTACCACAATTTAGTTGCTGCGGTAGCGACAAGTTGAGTTTTCAGAGGAATATGCGAGGCTACTTCTATGTACATTTTCGCGCTACTATGTCACGTGGATTCATCTCATGGATGGGCAAGTGTACGATGGGTATTCAATCCGTTGGTGCTTTTTGATGCTGAGGTATTTCTCATTTCCATGGAGGCTCCGTCGATTTTGGGCATGATACCCGCAGCTGTCGGATTTTTCCATTCATGACCTCATGTGCCGGATGATTTCTTTCGAACACTGCAACCCTGGTCGAGACTGCGTCAGGATGCTCACAACCGGCTTTTGACATTCTCGAAGTTGGGAACGTCGTTGTCCTAGTACTGCTGTAAAGTGTGTTAGCCGAGGTGGAGCCTTGCTCCTGAATTTTTTTCTCCCGCACGGCCTCGTTGTCCCTTTGCGTTGCGTTGGGGCCTTCTCTACCGAGCCCTTGCGTGCCATTGGGTCCAACTTCTTCTCGGCAGCCGCTAGACCGTCCCGCTCCCGCGTAAATTTCTGTGCGTCTCACCATGCATCGGTACAACCGTTCGTGATTTCTCCTGGGCCAACGCCTCTCCAGTGCTTTGCCCGCCCACTTAATCTTAACTCGGCAATACAGTACGTTTCAGTCTTAAATTTATGCGTCACTTGCTGCAGCGTTCCCGCTCTCTGTCTGATACTCCCCATGCCTAGGTCCCACTCTCTTTCGGAACCCCATCACCCCCCGCCGCCCCCCTGTTGTCAATCCCTCTGGATGTACCCTCCCTTCATGTCACTTGGCGCCTCTTCGTCTCAGCGACAATTTCCGACTGGTGGTGTTGGACGAGGATGACGGTGGCGATGATGCCGATGCTGAGAGTAAGGCCCACGCCGCGGAAAGTGCCAAGAACTTTCTTCGCGACCGCTTGGGGAGCCGGAAACGAGTCAGCCATAGCTTGTTCAAAGCTCGCAAGCGGCTCGGCCCTTCGCCGAATTTCTGATCCCACGTTTTATCTCGTCTCACTTTCAGTGTACTCTGCCGTTGATTTAGTTGTAAATGTCCGTTCGCAGCTGTTTATTCCGTCGCTCCTTTGGCACCCTACACAGGCGCAGGTTTGACTTTCCCTGAGATTGTCCATGAAAATGAATCAGCCTGCTCAAACCTCTTTCGCGGGTGAAAAGTCGTGCGGCTTGGATAGGGTTTCAGAGTTTTGTTCACTCGTTTCATTGTGGTGATACATACACCTGCAGGTCAAGCATATCTTTTGGGGGGGGGTATAGTGATAGACCACGTCGACCGCTCTTTTGGACAAGGTGTGTAGCAGTGGCTGCCGGTGCGGTGATTGCTGGCGCCCAGTGTAGCCGTTCACGCCTAGGCGGGGCGATGCATGCCATCCGGGAGGAACTAAGTGGCAGTTGACACGGCAACACGAAACGAACAACAACTTCGAACACCAACAATTGTTGTGTGCCCGTCTAGGTACCGTAGTCGGTGGGTTTCAGTGAGGAAGAGAGGGTTTAGTCATGTTACGGAAGCGTGCGTTCAGCACATTTCCATTTGCGTCAACTATGTGCTTCAGTGCACATGTTTTTTATGGTTTTTGAAAAGGGGTGTGATGTGAAATGTCGCCTCACTGATGTCACGTCCTACCGTACAATGTCCATTGATGTGCGTAGTTGAATGGCTTGCGTGATCGGCCAACTATTGTTCTTGCTTGCGCATGTCGAATTTTTCTCTCTGACAGAGAACTCCGCCTTCGTTCGTGCTCGCCATGCACGCCACCACGGCAACGTTGGTGTAGCAAGCCTTAAGCCTTGTGGCGGCGTTATGCTGGCACAAACTAACGCCTACCTTAACTTCCTCTTTTCGGTCGGGAAGCGAATGGCAAACGATGTTTTCGAGCCCGAGCAAGTACCTTCGCTGAGTACAAGTTATTTATCTCTCCTCGCCGATCGCACCTGGCTACAAGTTGCCGTAGGCCTTACGATTGTCCTTAGTGGTCTGTTCTCAAACATACCGCGGACGCGAATAAGAATTCGCTTTGTGTGTATGCTGTAAGATAGTGTGAGATCCGGAAGATCCAGAGATATTCAGCAGGGTGGCGTATATTTATGGCTACCAGCGTGACACCAGATACCACAACCCTCGGCCATTTTTCAAAGCTCTATTTTTCGCCAGCAGAAAGTGTGGCGGTGTCAAAAATGGCTAGGTTGGAACCGTCTGGTCGAGAGCTTTCCGAAAATGCACTATTATGACGGTGGTATAATCTTCTCCGTGGAGTAATCGAGATTTGAAAATCGAAAATCACAGAGGGTATGATATCTTGTGTCACGCACGGTAAATGCCAGTTTTACTTCGATTGCACGGCACCCCCTCTTCAAAACTCCGGAAACTCACGACGAGTGACTTGCGCTTGAAATGCGATAGTCCACGCTCCCGTTGCATCCCGATGAAGCGCTCTCTCTACGTGGGTGAGTGCTAGTATTCTATGGGCACGCTGTTGAGGCTTTTATGGCACACCGACGGCGTAGATGGAACGGGATGCACCGTCTCATCAAATAGGAGGTTCAACACCTATGAGTCCACAGCGTAGACGTCTGCGGCAGAGTTGAATTAAACTGTAGCTGTTTCGAATGTGATTCAAAGTCAAGGCATTCAGCGGCGTGTGCTTGTGTGGTCAAGGCATCCATTTCACGTCGCTGTACACTCGTGTCTTGCTGGCGGTGGGTATGGGGATGTCTTTGTGTACCACAAGCAGGGCAAGCACCAAGGCCTGATGTCTGCAGTCAACTGGGATATGGGATGTGAGGGATGCAAACCTGACAGTCCCGCCGAACTGGCGCTGGGGCGTTTGATTTATCTATGCATACAACAATGTGACCTCTTTGTTTCTTGTCATGCAGTACAATCTCTTTGCTACGTACTCTCTGTTCAGAACAGGTAAATCCCCTGCCGTTCCGCGTTTGTTGCACATTCGCATCGTGTGTTGGCCCTGTAAAACGTGAGTCCACAAACAATGAGCGGCGGCGTTAAAGAAGCGACTAACGCCGTTCGACATGGTACTTGGCAGGTTTGCTTTGCAACACGCACCAAATCGCTGGGCGAGGCTCTCTTTGTCTGCCTTATCTAACTTCGCCGGCCCGGGCACCCCCCGGGCCGCCGTACCCCGTCTTTCCGATTTGTTCGTGCTTTTGACATGCTCACCGCAAAGGTGCTGCGGTTGTCGCAGCCCCGAGACTGCTCGCTTTCCACGTCCCGCTTACTCCGGGTGGCCTTTCTGCCTCTGCGAGCACCAGCAACCGATGGCGGACTGTATCTTCCGCGGGCGGTGGCGGCAGGGCGGACAAAGCAGGCCTTGTCGCTTTGGGGAAGGGCTTGGGTTGTAGTTTGCGAGCTAGGCCAGGGTGGTGCACACGCTCCTTTTCGTCGCGACTGGGTGTGTCGGCAGGAAACGGCAACGCTTCTTCTCCGCCACCACCATCGCTGCAGGTATGCATAGTTGCTGCTGCTGTAGTTGCGTATTAGTATAATACTCAGAAACGATTGGAGGATTTCTGTTTTGTGTTGACCAGCATGATTGGTGTGTGCTGCGAATGCCGTTTGTCTGACGCAGATATTGTCGTGCTCGCAAAATTTCCGCTGATTATTTTCCCGAAACTCCTTGTTTTATGCGCGTCTGCTGCTCTGCGCCCTGCCTACCCCTTCTCCCTTGCACAAACAACTAAACCTCGTCCGACTGGGCCGCGGCACGTGGTCGCCATAAACGCCGACGCGCTCAGCTCATCTCGGTCTAACCTTCTTTTGCACGCCCCGTGTTTCGGCCATCCGCAGAACATCCCGCACACTTCTCTGGTGCTGAGGGACGAAGCCACAGGCTGCGACATTTACCTGGTGAGAGAAAGCCTACTCCTGCTTATCGTCTCGGTTGCTTTTTCCTTGTGGTAGGTGGCGATGCTGCTGCGGTGGCGGCGGCTGTTGTCGGTTGTCCGTTGTTGGGCGGCTTTGGGGTTCATTTTGCCGCGCAGTCTTGGGACTATGCGGAGGGGACGCCGGCTTCCCGCACAACGCCTCCACATTACCGCACGGAACCAAATTGTGGATTCCGAGCAAAGATCTCTTGCGCTTCCCGCTTTGTGGCATGTTGTTGCCAGTAGGTGGGCTGCTTGCACGGCTCTCACGCATCGGGACGAGACGTGCAGGACGTGCTCGAGAAAGTGCGGCCAGGAGCGGTGGTGTTGGAGCTGTGCGAGAGCCGGCACAAGGCACTCCGGCGGGACCTGGAGAAGAGAGCAAAGGTAACCGTAGAGCAAAGGGCGGGAACGGTAGTGTCTGTTTGACAAAAAGGCCTACTGTAGATGGCGCCGTTGCTCAGCACGCGTGGCGGAAAGTGATGGTGTTGACGTAGTGTACATCGGTGCTTTTTTTTTTGTTTCACCGCTATTGTTTGTTCGTTGCTGCGGCTGTTGTTGCTCGCTCCCACGAGGCGGAGGAGCGAGGTGGGTCCTCGGGAGAGGGAGGCTACGAAGGAGACGGCTTAAAGCATGCCGGCACGTCGTTGGTGGTTTGTTGGATAGGCTGCGCGTGGAGGGTCGTGCGTGGTATAGGCTCCAGCACCGTGACTGTAGGGTGATGCCCGTTTTCCGCCCTGTTTAGGGTGTTGGACAGTGCCGGCAACCGAAGGGTATTTTCGTGCTGTGCGTGTGTGTGTGTGTGTGTGTGTGTGTGTGTTTGTGCAACAACACTAGGGAGAGCGCTGATGCCCGTTCGCGTGCTGTACAGAAAGAACCCTGCTCTCTGGCCTTGTGCCACCAGCCGCCGTCCGCCGGCATCCTTGTGCTGCCGCTCCTCAATAGGTCTTCTTGGGCCGCCGTGCCCCCGGTGCCGCCAATAGCTTCGCCTCCCTAGCGTTCTTGTCCCTCGCAGTCAATTCTGGTTGTTTGCCACCCCGTCCTCTCCGGTGTTGTCTTTGCTGCACCAAACGTACCACGAAATTACCAACTGCCCACGCGACGGAATTCGGTTTCATGTATGAAATAGCGAGACCCTAACCCAAACCGTATCCCCCGACATTCCACTGATTCCGTCCTTCATCCAATATGTTTGCTTAGTAAAACCTGCCTAAGCCACCTGGAAATTTTCCTTTGGTTGTCGGGCAATCTACTTAAACTCTGCGCCGTGGCGGAATCCCCCTCCGAATCGTTACACGCTGCCGCGGCAATGTAAACAGGGGGACGCGCCCCTTGAGGGCAAAGAGAAGTGGGTGTCGGCCTTCAGCTCCTGGGCCAAGGGGGTCAAGAAAACCTCGGCAAAGTCCGGCCTCCTGCAGGTGACCAACGTGCGGCGCAGTAGCCGCTGTTTGTTTTCTCTGTGTTTGCTGTGTCATCAGAGTGGTCGTTCCCTCTCCACTGGGCTGGAGCGCACGGCCATCCCGAGGGACGAATGCCTATCGCTGTCCCCCCTCTCCTTCTTCGAGACGCAGTGTTAAGTACACGACGTCGCCATGTTCTCGTGCCCTCTTTGCTTAAAATCGCCGCATGCGGGGCACCGACCAGGGCATCCTGTCGGGCCTCCTGAGCGTGCCCTACGTCGTGCAGCGCCTCGGGGACTTCGACCCGGGGCTAGAGTTTAAAACCGCCATGGTCTATGCCGACCCTTCCGTACGGCCGGGCTCGTCGACAGCGGGGGCACGGGGGATGGTGACGTCTGCAGCGGGGGGGGTGGCGGGTCCCGGGGAGTGCTCGGTGGTGCTTGGCGACAGGGATGTACAGGAGACGTTGAGACGGCTTGGTGGAGCGTTGACAGCGCTCACGGGTCAAGGGGAGGGCGGCGATGAGAAACACGGGGTGGGTACGGGAGAGGGGGCGCCAGAGGGAGCTTCGCCTGGGGCGGGCGGCGGCGGGGCTAGTGTTGGGATGTTGGATGCTGCCGAGGTGAGCAGAGGGAAAGAGGCAAGCTTTGTTGTAGTTTTTGTCTTGTCTAGAAGAGGGACGTGTCGTTAAACTTATACGGCGATATTCGGTGTGTATTACAGTGTAGGGTGTCTTCAGATGCGGTCGAACGGCTGCGGCGACGCGGTTCCACGACATTGTCTCGGGGCTTTTGCATCCACGCGACCGCGGCACTTCGGATACATACGGAGAAGAAATTGCCGCTCGCAAGTCTTTGGCGAACCTTCTAGCTTTTGCTGGTCGTGATGGTACCTCGGCGTTGCATGACGTAGCCACGCAAGGTCGTGAATTTTGTCATGAGGTGCTCTCGCACAAATTTTTTGATGGTTTCATGATGCAGCGGAGGTCCCTTGGGAGTGCCGGTTGAACACTGCCACTGCCCGGTATTTATGTGGGTAGAATCGCTTCACACGAATAGAATCATTATTGTTCACGCTGTCTCAATCTCTGAATAATGTCGGTTGCCCGCTCTAGTGCCGGTTGGTCTGGCGGGCACATACCGGTACTTTGAGGGACCCCGACTGCATGGGGTTTGCGCTGGGCTGGCGCGTGCTTTGTGACACCGTTGTAGTTTTTTTTTGTTTTTTGTTTCGCTCCAGTGATCTGAAGCTGGAAGCATTCTGATGTACATATCATCATATGCCCCGAACGTTCTTGACTGCTTGATGATTGGGCCGAAGATGCCGCACAACTGACGTGCACCACGGCCGTATTACGGACGGGCGCCACGCTCCAAACGCCCGATAAAATGCCGAGAGGAACGGGGTATGATTTTGACGGGATGATGATGATGATGCTGGGTTTTCGTATCTACGTTTTTTTTTGCGTCGTTGCAGACCGAGGCAACCTCGGGGTGGAATTGGGGCACGCTAGCCTCAGACGCGAGAATACTGCGAGTGGCCGTGGTCGGGCCTAGCGGCAGGCAGTGGCCAGACTCGCTCAACGTCTTGGACACTGTGTGGAGGGAGCGACAGGTGGGTATAGTAGTACAGGCGTGCCCGCTTTTTTCAGGGATACTTTTCCTTTTATTTGCTTCCTTGGGCAAAGGTTAACGCTCAATGTTGTGTGGATATCCTTGCTTCGCTGTACGAGCTGAGCGTCTTGCTTTTTTTGGTAAAATGGGCCGCCAGCCGATATGTTGTCGGCGATCCTCGCCCCACACCCCTCCCAGATTCATTTTCCCAGTCTTCTACCCCCCCTCCCCCCCCCCCCCCCCCCCCCCCCCCCCCCCCCCCCCCCCCCCCCCCCCCCCCCCCCCCCCCCCCCCCCCCCCCCCCCCCCCCCCCCCCCCCCNCCCCCCCCCCACCCCTAGGCGTTGGGGATGCTCTTGCTGCCGCTCTTGCTCCCCATGACGGTTGTTTCCGAGGCGTTGCAGAGGTCCATCGGGAGCGTCGCTACGGTAACGGTGGCGGCGGCAGGCAGCGGCGGTGGGGGTGTTCGGGGGTTCGGGGCCTTCGGCGGGGTGAGCGGGGTGAATAGTGCCGGTTCGGCAGGGGTGGGGGGAGGAGGGGCAGCCGTCGACGTCGACCTGGGGCGTTTGCTGGAAGGAGCCAGCGATGTGTTGGACACGCTGTTGGTGGCGCTGTCCGTGTGGTACATGCTGAGGTTTTTTCGGTGAGAGAAGTGCACAGAGGGCGAGGCGGGAGTACTTTTGGTGTGAACGAGGCTGCTGGTTGGTTGTCTATTATTGTGTCTTTTTGTTCGATGGTGCGTAACGGCAGTGCGTGGAATTGCGCTTTTGTGTCTTTGGCGTGTATTTGTTTGATGACGTGTCCAACACACTGTTCGCGGTGTGGTCGGTTTTGGTGTGGTTACGGAGACCGTTTGCGGAGGTGTGGTCGGGGAAGGAAGGCGGCACGATCCTCAACTTGATCACATCGTTTCGTGATCAGAGTTTGGCAAGACACTGCTCCACGACGATAGATTTCGCCCAGGGGCAGCGGGCAGGAAATCATGAAAGCACCGCGAAAATAGGGTTTTGTTCACGTGTACCTTCATCCGGAAACGCTTCACAAGCCTACTCGTAAGGGCGACCGATATTCGACGCCAAAGAACCCAATAGCGAACGTTCTTCGAAGTTCCCTTCCCGTCACGGCCGAACGTTCCACTTGTGTCATGACCTCACTCCCAGCTACGATGCTCCCATTTTTTCCAAACGGTAAAATGTAAAATACGATTAGACCGGACGGGTTCGAAGTTTGGAACAGCATGTTAACCACGGATCTCATCGGGCGTCTTGGAACTTGTAAGCGCAAAAAGAGCTCAGATCCTCTCTTCGCTCCAAAAACTAATAATGAGCAAGCAGCTTTGTTCACAAAAAAAATGAGATACCCCGCTATTGTACCCTCCCCTCCCCCCCCCCCCCCCC